CTAATTGCGGTGCCCTTTTATTCCCAACAAATAAAGGTGTTCTTCATTTGTTGTCTGTTTGGGACAAAGGCATGATGAAGAAAAGTTTGGGGCACATAAAGACAAGCTTGGTCTTGCTTTTTTCATTAGGGGAGAGGAATTTGTAGTTAAGGTAGCCGCTGTGAAGAAAAGAAAAAAAGTCTCATGTACCTTCTGCGCCTGTTCGGGCCTTTGCTGTAATTGCAGGTCCTATTCTACCAGTGCTTACCGCTGACACGTTTATGATATACATGGTATAAACTGACAAGTCTGTTAATGTTGTGGTGTTCGCGGCGTAGATTACACTCAGAACATTAACATCATTCTCTAAATAAACTGTGTAATAACTGATATTATAACCAATGGGTTGTCCTTGAAAATGTTCCTCTGACAAGTGACTCCATTCTACTGGAATAGTCCTAGAACTGGATTTGTGGGCAGATCAGGACCTCTTGATGGAGCTAGAATAGAAGGCGAAAGATTGGAAAGATTATAACTGCCGTCATGAAATGTCTTAAGACGATTATACCTTAGTACCCTCACTTAAGGGGACTGGTGGAATACCTAATTACCCGGAAATTTTGTGCCCGCGTTATCTTCTCGTAACGCCAAATACCGTTCACGATAGAGTTAGCTAAGTGACGAATTTTACTCAATGAACGGACGATGTAAAGTTGCCTTATTGAAACGTTTTTATTTTCACCATGATTTGTAAAGCAATGATTTAAGCATAAAGGCTGATAGCTTCTAAAGAAACTGTTTGGGGCTGCGTCGGTGGGGGTAACGAAATAATTTGGATATATCAACAAAGTTGATATATCAACTTTGCTGTTATATCCAAATTATTTCGTATATATATAACAACTTTGTTGTTATATCCAAATTATTTCGTTACCCCAATTTACCATTTCAACTTTGTTGATATATCCAAAGGATTTCAGCACTCGAGCATTCCATAGTAATAAAACAGAATATACGTAGATCATTCTGAGAACCGTGGTTACTTATAAGTATCTGCTTCCGTGCACATTCGCGGGCTTATATTCTTATAAAGAAAATGTTCAGTCTCCACTCCCATTTTGTTTTAGTTTTTCATGCTGCATTTATACAGCTTTGGCTATTTTAGGGACATCCTACCTTCTGCGTCTGTTTGAGCCTTTACTGTGTTTGCAGGTCCTATTCCTCCAGAGCTTACTGCTGATACATTAATAACATAAATGGTAGAAACAGTCAGGCTTGTGAGTATTGTGGTATTTTTTTCTGTATTGTTTACACTCACAACATTAATATCTCTCTCCGATTCAAGAGGTACT